ACTCTCGCACTCGTTTGTTCGGAATATAGCTGCTGTGTTCCCTTCTGTGAGTCTTTTTTCTCCGACATTAGGCGCTGAAGCGGGTCAGCAGCAGATACCACAGGTCGGCGAAGCAGCAGATATAACACTAACGAATTCCAATCTGTTGTCTTGCCTTCCACTATTTTTTGATTGGGTTGGTTTGGTCGATAAAAATGGGCGAGTCGGTGTTGGACGCATTTGGAGACTAAACTAATTCATTACTATCTCCCGAGATCCCCTAGAAGCTTCATGGATTACTGTCATTTACGGAGTGTGATAGGTGGTGAACAGTGATCGAGTGACAGGTGTTGAGTCGTAGAGCAAATGTGGGAGTGCGATGGTCAGTGCGTTTTACTCCAAGCTTGACCAAAATCTTTGGTCCTTACTCGGAAATTAAGTATCCACCCGGATTCTCTTGTGTTTTTTTTCTTGAAGGGCTGGGAACCAACAACACTGACTGCTTCCCCCAAACATCTTCAGTAATTTTAATATATCTTTAAACGGATGGCCAATCAAACCATGAAGCATTTATTAATTACAAGCTTATCATTTCGTCCCCACACATTCCGCTAATACCGGCCATCCGGGGTGCTAATCCGTGAGCGGTTAGGGGGTTGTACTGTCATGCTGATAAACTGGATTTCAGTCGCCTATTTGTGAAACACCCCCGTGTGCAAAGATATTTTTTTCGACAGATATACTCAATTACAACTCAGTTTGGTTTTCACGGGAGGCTCAAGTGAATCTCTCTTTTATGATGTTCTTCAACTGAATGTGCTGCACACAAGCCGCCTACTGTTTCAGTTGGAACGATATCGCAGTATATTTTCGTAAACGAAACTACTCACAAGGTTGCTGAAAACTCTTCAACAGCTGTCGCTTCGGTCTAGTGCTGTGCCTTTAAAGGCCATCTGACACTCGTGACTTTGCAAGGGTTATCACCGACTCTAGGAAGACTGCTCCTGGCCAATCTAATCCACTCATATCTATTTATTCTGCAATAGTCAAGGAGAAATCTAACAATACAGGCTCAGTAGAATGGGAGTGATCCGATCTGTTTAACCATGAGCACTGGGTCGGATATTTCTGACAAAGTATGTATGTGTCTGCACACTGAGGACTCTTTCCCAACTAACAGACGCAATTCCGTTTCACACAAACGGCACATGTATTTTGAAACCCATCCACACGTGATGGCAGAAAATGTTCTGTGCTCTGTCCAAATAGTCAGCTAACCATTTCAGTGAAGTGTTCCGTTTTCGACAAGCAAACCATTCGTCGAATTATGGAGCAAATTAGCATTTTTGTGCTTGGGCTGAAACGAAAAACACGCTCACAATGATGTTAATTTCCCCAGAGAATTAAAGGAAGTACATTGTTGCTGATATCAATCAAATGTCTGGCAAACGAATACCATATATTCTATGATTTCGCCACATAGAAAAATCGACTTCTCAGTTATTGTTTCAGGAAAGCTGGAGTGTTCGACTTCATGGGATTTTTCTCCGGTAGGAACGGTTGGCAGCCCCAAAATGATAGCTAGTCGCGTGTGTAACAAATCCATTTGTGCGCATCAGATGGGCCGGTGCAAAAGACCTGGGTGGTTGATGCCTCTGGGGGTCCAGTCGAATGGCTTCTATGAAGCCACAGATAAAGCACTCAAGCAGTCACGTGATAGTCGCTTTACTGAGGGTGGACAGCCAATTCAGAAGAACAGCCGAGCTGGTCGGGGTTAGTTAGTTAGTCTAATTAGGCAAGTTCAGGAAGGCGAAGAAGGACAGCGAAACGGAGTACAACCACGGAAAGCCGCAGTACAACACTATCTGGAGACCAGGCTTTATTGATTCTGTCAGCAGGAGTGTACTAACATTAAAATATCCTATCCAATAGACCACTGTTTTCATATTCATGAAAGCAGGGCGAGTTACAAAGGATCACCCACAAATTTTTACAATCTTACCTAAGAAAAATTAATGGTAACCACCGATGCATCACTACTGAGGAGAGTGAAATACGTTCAGCCAAGTGCTTACGGTAGTTGAAGTGGGTTATCGATTTTCGAGTGGTACCAAAGCTAGCTACGAAAACAGGAGTAAGCACGGATGTCAAATTCAACTCGGAACCTGGAAAACTGAAGCTCCTCCCAACAGGGATGGGGGTGAAAGATCTGAATGACCCCCAGGGGAATCGGATAGTAAGTATAAAACTTTAGGAGAGTAGCGGATATACACTCATTTGCAAACTAATTTGGTTCTTTCGAGAACTAAACCTGGAACCCAGCTGAATCCCTCGTTTATGATGTTCTCAGGCAACTGAATGTGCTGCACCAGGCCGCCTCATGTTTCAGTCGCTACGATATTTGAAATATCGCGATACATGTATATCTTTGTAATGTACTACTCATAAGGTTGCTGAAAATCCATCCAAATTGCCTGAGAGCATCACAAACGAGAGATTCAGCTGGGTTCCAGATGAGTTTCTCGAAAGAACCAAATTAGTTAGCAAATGAGTGTATAGTCGCTAATTTCGTGCCATTTGGTTGCAAGTAGAACATAAGGTTGACGGAAACCCGGGGACTGCGCCTACCTGATGAGCTCCAAGAAGGGCGAAACCGGTCGTGGGCCGTCGATGGATTTTCAGCAACCTTATGAGTAGCACATTAATTTAGCAGACTAGTTGCACATCATACCGTTCAGAAACACAAAAGACAATTTATAAAGAGGGACTAGATCCACGGTGATCCGTCTTAGGAAACTGAAAACTGTGAACAACCTAAGTTACGTTAGACAGGAGAACGACCGTTTGGTTCCGACTGCCATGCAAGTGTGAATGTATGCTGTCATTCAGGAGTCGAAACAGAAAGAATTCGACGTGAAACCGTGAATTTCAACTGTTTACTTGTTCTTCTCCATGAATTTTATAAGCTTTAACGAGTTTGGTTAACAGACTTTGAAAGGGACAGTCGCCCTGTTCAGAAATGCGGCCGTGAGCGTTCATATGCAGCGTCCATTTCTCTCAGGTTCTACCACAGAAACTGTCGTCGGGGATGGACGCGATCTGGACGCCTTCACCCCTTTGACAGTGTAACTAACGACGGGTCTGCATATAGTCTTAAGAAAGGCGGTCTTAGATAAGCCGAGTTGACACATGACGGTGTGGTTATCAATCCACGTGGGATCATTAGAAAAAACCGGGGTGTGGGGGCGGAAATCCCAACCCGACCAAAGGCCACAGCATACCTCTTACACGGCTACCGTAGCACTAGCCCACCCACACAGACGGACAGAAGGTTCAAACGACGCCCAAGATGAACCATCAAATGAACCGAACCAGAAGAACTAGACCCTAGGCTGGACCCAAACACATGTAGGTTTCCCCACTGACTCAACACTTGTTCAACCACTCTAACACACTAAAATCCCTCGGCCGACACCCAACAGAGATTTAGCTTGACTTAGCTGATTGGTTCTCCTTCCGCCTTAAATCTCGATCAACTTCGGAACCTAGTCACTTGGCCTGACCCCTTGGCCTGACGGAGCTTTTGTGTCAAAAGCGAAACGTTGTCCAGCAATAAATCTACCGATTGTCACCAAACTTTTTCGGAAACGATGCATGTAGCCTTCTTAAGAAAGGTGGATCATTCAGATAGGTTCTATAACGTCCTGCAGTCACAGCCATATGCATTTGCCTAATCTGAAGGTGGACTCGTCAGACATACACGTACCTACTGTGAGCCGACACAGAAGCTCCAGTGAGCTGCATTCTCTCTTTTCAGCAGCTGCTGAGGTCTGCTCTGATATCGATCGGATAACTGGTTTGCCACCTGATCAGGTATTCCCACACAGCTTTGCTTTGATGACTATCCCCAAGAGGCATTGTTACAATCGTTCATCTGCTGCAATTTTCAGTGTAATTTGAAGCAATAAACAGATGGGACGAGGTGGCTCAGTGGTCAGAGCGCGAATTTACTGACCTGAAGGTCTGTGGTTCAAACCCAACCTCCGCATCTCGAATTCGCATCTCGACTTCCCCTGTCTAGGCTTGGACAACCTGGCAGTATCCCAGCCCTCATGCTTTCTTCGGCTGGCATGGCAGCTAGGCAGCTGAAAGGGTTCTACAGGTGAACGATTGTTTTTATTTCCAGCAAATCGATGCCATAGGAATAAATGCCAGAGTTTATGGCTTTGGCAAGATAATTAACTCGGTTAATGGCCTCCAAAAGATCTTCGGGCGTTTCAGGCTGATCGAGTTCAGTCGGTTTAGCGCTAATACTAATAGCCCGAACTTAGCCCCAAATTCATACCAATTTAAACTTTTTGTATTTTACCAACTACAAGAAGCCAGCTAGTGGTCCAATCAAACTGACCAGACTATACACAAACTCATTGGGCTTACAGTTTGACAGTCTAGGTTCAAAAGTTGTGTGATCTCGTCCAGAAAAGAGTCAGTTCCAAACGCTTGGAATTTGGTTATTAGTTGTCTTGGAAGTTCTGGGAAAACCCAGAAGACCCTGAAGGAAACTTATGTTGAACTATGATTTCTAACGGTGTTCACTGAAACGAACGCTTAGAGTGGAAGAAATTGCGACTCGATCGAATACCATGGCCTGGATGAAGCAAGACAGGACCAGACGTTATTCCTGGCATACAGGATCAGCCTAATTGAACTTGACATGGCTTCTATGCAGCGTGGTGTGATCCAGTTAGGTTTTTCTTAGCATGCTGTTCAACCACATCGATGAACAATAAAGCATTCTCATAAAGGAAACTACGCGCAAGGTTGCTGAAAGCTGTTCGACAGCCCACGACCAGTTTCGCCCTTTTTGGAGCTCATCAGGTAGGCACAGTCTCCGAGTTTCCGTCAACCTTATGTTCTACTTGAACCCAAATTGGACTGTTTTCGAGAAATACACTCATTTGCAAATCAATTTGGTCTTCACGGGAGACTCAACTGAATCTCTCGTTTATGATGTCAGTCAAATTTGGGTTCAAGTAGATCATAAGGTTGACGGAAACTCGGGGACTGCGCCTACCTGATGAGCCTGAAGAAGGGCAAAACCGGTCGTGGACTGTCGAAGAGTTTTCAGCAATCTTGTGAGTAGTTTCCTTTACGAAAATATACTGCGATGTCTCGAATATCGTGCCAACTGACACATGAGGCGGCCTGTGTGAAGCACATTCAATTGTAGAATATCATAAACAAGAGATTTAGCCGAGTCTCTCGTGAAAACCAAATTGATTTGCAAATGAGTGTATTTCTCGAATAAAGCATTCTCTCCTCTGGAGTCAACACATCTACTTTCTGTCACATGGGGACAAACGACACACTTTACAAATTCTGAGAGGAAAACCAGACAGCATGTATTTAGCCTCACAAATAAATTATCGATTTTCCGAAAATTCCCATTTATAATATGAACATAGATGGGTTGACGAACATGTTTTCGGCAAGATCTTTTCAAGTCATGCAATTGCAAAGGTTAAGAGAGCGGTATTTAACATATTTGAATGAGTATGGTGTAAATGGACAGGAAATCGAGTGAGATTACATTGGCTACCCATCAAAGAACAATTAGTTCAGGGCACTTTGCAAATGTATGACTTGAAATTATCGATTTTTTTGAGAATCGCTCCATGAGAAGTAGACTAGAACTCCAGATTTAAAAAACCCCATCCAGACTTTGCGTCTGTATAATTTTGTGCAAGAAGTTTAGACGGTTATCTATTTTCTCCTGAAGAATGCAATTGCTGATGGGTTATGACCACACCACAGACGACATGCTCAAACCAACGTCGGCACGTTGTTGTAACCAGTCAGGCTACTGAATCGAGCCCTGTAAACATACTACGATGGTGTATATATATCAGTGTCAGTTGGGAGAAAAATGGTCGACGCTCTAATTCTTACCATGCATCTTTGCCGCTGCTTTCGTGAGGAATTCGTCCATACTCTGCTTGAATTTCTCTCCAGACCCGGTGAGCGCCACATGACTGGGAGTAGTCAAGGTTTCACCTGTTGATTCGGTTACATGCGGTGTCTTTTCCGTTTCACTTCTGTAAAGGAAAGATGCAGGACTGTATAAATACCAACTTGATGCCCGGCTAGTCAACATACACAACGAGCGTTACATAAGCAAGTGCCTGTTTAGACCAAGGGGTTCAGTTTTCTATAGAGGAGAATGTCGGTAGCTCAGGTAGCGTAGATGGTCGTTGGCTTGTTCGCTGAGCTGGGCAATTTGGTTGCAAACGTTTCATCACCAATCGAGCGTTGAACACACAACCACTAACCCACCGCTACGCACAACTACACACTGATGATGTCCCCTCGATTGGTGATGAAACGTTTGCAACCAAATTGCCCAGCTCAGCGAACAAGCCAACGACCAAGGAGTTCAGTTATAAGCCGGTAAACTACTTTAGATAGTTGGGGGTTGCTACAAGGAATTCAGGTAGGTAATAGATCATACTGAATACCGATCATACTGAATACTAAATTGTATGGTCAGTGCGTTTTGCTATCGTTTGAGGACCCCCTTGGTCTGGATTTTTCGAAAAATCGGAAATTTTAGAGGGGTTACCTGGGGATTTTGTGGCTACAATTATTTTCAAGCTTATAAATACTGTCAGCGCGGCATAACCCTCTGAGCTCTGCGACCGAATAATCGTGGTAGACAGTGATTTGCTTCACTCATAGATAAATTTACTCACGGAAACGTCGGAAAACGGATCGATTGGAGCAACTAAAAAATGTGACCATACGAAACTTTGAACGCCTCGCACATAAAACTATGGGCTTTACCTGAAGATGAGTGAGAAATAAGTGTAAAACAAACGAATTAAAAACTTCGGGAGCAATTGATTTTCTTACTGTTTAAAAAAGTCTTATCAAAGTTTATGAGTAGGTTGATACTGGCCTGCTAATTTGTACTGGTCTACTAACCCCTCTGGGTATGTCAGCTCCTGTGGTGGCAAAACCGATGAGACACTTATTAAGCATGGCGAACAAATCAGCTAATGAACACGCTCCCAATATTTATACAAGGAACTATCGATTTCTTTCATACTCCATATGAGAATCACTGCCCATTTTGCTTGTTATCTCCTGAGTGCCACTAAATGTTTGCTTAGGACGGAATCTGAGACCACACATGTAGTCCAGCTGACATGTAGTTTATCTTTAGGGCAGAATATCGATTTTTCTCTAATCGTCCGAACAAAGAACCACGGTGTAGGAATCAGCTTATTCGCAACGGACTCGTGGCGGAACATTTTTAATGTTATACTGGGAAAAGTTGAGAGGAAGATTCGAAATATGGACCGCCAATTAGCAAGAAAAAAACAAGCAGAATTGAATGTACTACTCGTAAGGTTGCTGAAAATCCGTCGACAGCCCACGGCCGGTTTCGCCCTTCTTGGGGCTCATCAGGTAGGCGCAGTCCCCGGGTTTCCGTCAACCTTATGTTCTACTTGAAGCCAAATTGCACGAAATTAGCGAATACCACTAATTTACAAAATAATTTGATTTTACGAGAGACTCACCTGGAACCCAGTTGAATCTCTCGTTTGTGATGTTTCCAGGAAACTGAATGTGCTGCCGCCTTATGTTTCAGTCGCTACGATATTCGAGATATCGAGAGAGATTCAGCTGGTTTCCAGGTGAGTCTTTCGAAAAACCAAATTAGTTTGCAAATATCCGCTAAACAGAACTGAAGATGTTTTTAAAAGCGTAACTCATGGAATGATGCAACTTTGGCCGTTATAACAAGGTTGTACGAACTTGGAACAGATGATAAATCATACATTATTTGGAGGAATACAGCAATTCGAACCCCAGAGATGCAAATACTCACCTGAAAGAATCGCTGGTCACGCGGCTTACTCGGCGAGTGTATGAGAGAGCGAATAGAGTGCGCCTCACTCCTGCTCATTGTCAAACAGCTCCTGTATGTAATCCACTACTTCCGTGATCGAAAACTGAATTATTCTACCACCGTGAAATTGACCTCTCATGTTTGACGAGGTACTAGGTTACTGTTGTCAGGCCAGTTTGTGTGCAAAATATAGGGTTTATTTAAAAACTGGTACTTTTATTTGGGTATTTTTGACGAATGTGCATTTAGTTAAACTTGGCTGGTAGATCATCCGGACTGATGAGCAATGTTCGGTGGTATTGTAACCTCATGATATTCAGAGGAGTCGAAGATAGTGACGAATGCCCCCCCCCCCAACTCGCCCATTTTACTCTCAGCTGCCTACAAACTGGCAGACATGAGAGTTGGTTGTGAATCACGCTCATTAGACAAGTGACTTGGTGGTAATGTCAGCTGAAGCTCTCATTTGTGCTGTTCTTCAGTCAAATGTGCTGCTTAAGAGTGGCTTCAAATTTGATTCGGAACGACGCCGAGGACATCAAAGTATCTTCCTCGACGTGACATTAATTATGAGGCTTGTTGAAGAGTTTAGGCAGCCATCCTTGATCTCACCCCTCGTGTGGTATAACCTTGTGTTTAAGTGAGAAATACGACCAGCGGAACTTCGGAGACTACGTCTAGTTGTTGAGCGCAAGAAATGGGAAACCGATGGCTTGCGGTCGAAGGTTCTCAGTAGCTTTATAAGTAGTCTGCTATATCAAGAATGTGCATACTGATTACACAGATATCGCGCTGGCTAAAAAATAAGATGTTCTGTGTGTAGAACACTTTGTTGAAGAACGCCATAGACAAGAAATTTGGTTGAATCATGAAGAGCGAATGGTGTGCAAACGAATTTATTATACTGATGACCCACCAACCTATGTTAAAGTGAAACACGGTTGATGGAGACTCAGGGATTGCGCCTTGGGAGAGGAAAAGTCTCGAACGAACTGCCTCAGAGATTCCGGAATCACATTAACAAAGAGAAGCACGCCATCCAACTCGGTGACTCTCGCTCGTCAATATGAACTAACCGGTTGCAAGCTATTGGACACGAACGTCAAAACCTCATTTGCACAGAGTACATGAAAAGTGGACATTATCAAGCGTCTTCTCGAACTTTCTCAGACTTTCATTGAATAATGAACAAGCACTTTAAAGCGGTTTCCTAATTTTTGTACCAGATGTGGGGACGACGCTTTGACTGTTGACCACACACTACTCGCGCGTTTAATCAGTAGCATACACTGGCACATTATCAGTGTTTTACCAGTAAAAGGTCTGTTGTTCCACATCTGTGTCTACCCATCTACTGATCTAATCCTGCACGGAATCCATAAAGGTTTGAAGAAGAAACAATGAAACTTTTTATAAATCTGGACCCAGTAATTTTGATAACCGTGAGGCCTGCCTTTGAAAGAAAAACAGAGCGGTAATAAAACAACAATACACACCGAAAATCGATGTAAAGGCAGTCATTCTGGCATCACTGGAAGTGGTGAAAAGTGTCAGGAATGCCCAAAGGTTCCTTCGGTGTGTCCTTGAAATCGGTCCACAAACGCGGTTAGCGGTTAGCTTCAATCGCTGAGCGGTGCACTGTGAGTAACAACTCTTTTGACCAACTGCTACCAGTTGGTCGTATTGTACAGCTGCAATAGAACTCTGGACTGTGAAACCAGAGCTCCATTTGATGTTGGAATTTTTTGACGGTGGCACCAAGATCCTGGTCCGGATGACCTCCTGCTCGGAGGGGCTGAATTCCGTAGCCAGCGTTTATCCTGTCAATGATATTGATGGCAATGACGAGGTATCAATGACTTCAGACGGGTCTTTGATTTGGTGGAAAGGCAAATAATGAAGGTCGTTCTTCGGAAGATGGGCTGTTCACGCAACTTATTCTGCCATCTTTTTGATCTGGGATGTAATCTGAGTTTGTGAGTCTACATCCATAAGTTTCGTTATTGACAAGGAGGCATTATGGCTCCAAATTTATTCAAGTGGATGCCATTTAGAATATGCGAAGTTTTGCCAAGCGGTTCGGAAGATAAGGCAGCCACTGTGCATCGTCTGCATGGCCGAATAATCATTTCAAGTTATTTTCTATCCTGACGACTGTCTTGTGACTTGAAGTTCTCATGGGTTTTTCTCAGAACATTCCTAAATTGAGCTGGACTGGACCCTGATTTTGTTAATTTTTTGCTGTATTTCCAGATGTCCGGATTACTTCAAACTACTGACTTTGTAGAATTCGGTGATTCGCTAAGCTCTGAGTAATAAACGCATCAACAGGTAAAGAATGCCTCTGTTTCATTCGGGAAGAAGTTCCCTTGGAGAGACAATTTGTTAGGTTTAAATAAACCTGAGTTCTTCCAAGAGGTGATTTCTTCGGACTGAACTGATCAAACTGCATAGGTTGCGCTGGCTTGGCCACGTATTGCGTATGCCAGTCAACCGACTTTCTCGAAGGGCTTTTTTACGCAAGACCACGGGAAGAGTGGAAAAGAGCCAGAGGTGGTCAAACAATGACTTGGCAGCGAAGTATAAAAGCCATTACCAACAATCTCAGCTGCGCTGGTCATTGCCGTCTTCCTGAATGGGGAACTCGAGACGGACCAAATCAGTGGTTGGAGACATTGTCAGACATGGCCCAGTCGCGCCCTCAATGGCGCTCATGCATCAAAGCTATTGCCTTCAATGCATAGTTCCCTTTCTAATTCCCTCGCTTAAAGTCCATTAACAGCTCTGTATATACGCACTAATTTATCAGCTCCCGCCTCCGATGCGCAGCTACCTACCCCACCTCCCCAAATCATCGGTGAACGAAACTGTGGCAGCTACAACTACTGTACGAAAAGTATGCGGTTATTACAGCTGACAACGATGCTGATGACCTGAAAAAGGCCACTCGAATAGTAATTTCTTTTCACCGCACAATAATGGCCAGATTGTTCAGTCCTTTAAAATGGTCCCTCCAGAGTGGATAAGGAGGATCACTGAAGGTCCACAAAGGTGTTCCGTTATTGTGGGATGTCTCTTTTTTAAGATTTCTCTGTAGAAGGAATTCGTTGTGTTAACGAGATGGAATTTCCTACGCGGGGCTGAGGATATGGCTTTTGCTCCAAGTATGTTACAGAATTTTCA